TTTGATCTTGATGGCATCTAGTTAATTTCACTTAAGATCCTGCCACAAACTGTGCTGCAGCTTTCGTCTGAAGAAGACTCAATGCTTCTGTGTATACCATACACCGAATCGTTGTGCTGAGTCTGACTAAAAATGGGGTTATATTCTACCTATTTAAAAAGAGAATGGGCTCAACAAAATGAAAACAAATGGCTAACAGTTCAAGTTAGTTCATGTGCTGTATGGGAACAAGAAGAATTTAGGTGTGAGAGTCACTGTCACGGCTGAAGACTTACGTCCTGAAACTAAGCAAAATATTTACCATTCTTAGAGATATCCCAGCAAGATCCATCCAGCAGCGCTTATCTATATTGAAAAAGGATGTGTGTGTGTGGGAACTTGAAATAATTGCATATTCATAGATAACAATATGAAAGATGCATGTAACCATTCAAAAGTCTGATTGTAATTATACTGAAATGATGTCTCTTACATTATTAAGTTCCAGTTATGTCATATCAGTTGTTATGATCCAAGTATATGTCAATCAAAGATTTACCTGCTGCAAGTGGAGCAAACCTTGCTTTAGAAAAGAACTGATTGCAGCATGATGACCAGAGTCAACTGTTGGAATGAGTCTGAGGTAAACACCTATCCATCTCGTATCATCTCACCTCATCCACATATTCTCCGCTTCTTTCCAGGGTCTTCTCTACCTGTTCTGAACCCCATCGCAATCTCAATCCCACCTCATCCACATCATCTCTGCTTCTTTCCAGGGTCTTCTCTGCCTGTTCTGTCTCAACCTCATCCCGTTCCAACCTCATCCACATATTCTCTGCTTCTTTCCAGAGTCTTCCCTACCTGTTCTGAACTCCATCTCAACTCATCTCACCCACATATTCTTCACTTGTTTCCAGGGTATCCTCTACCTGTTCTGAACCCCATCTCATCTCATTCCATCACCTCCACATATTCCCCACTTCTTTCCATAGTCTTCTCTGCTTGTTCTGAACTCCATCTCGTCTCAATCTTGTCTCGTCTCAATCTCACATCAGTCTGATCCACATAACCTCTGCTTCTTTCCAGGGTCTTCTCTACCTGTCCTGAACCCCATCACATCTGATCTTATCTCAATCTCATCCACCTATTCTCCACTTCTTTCCAGGCTCTTCTCTTCCTGTTCTGAACCCCATCTCATCCCATCTCATGCACATATTTTCCAAATATTTCTGGGTTCTTTCTCTACATGTTCTGAACCCCATCTCACCTCATCCCATCTCATGCACATTATCTTCACTTCATTCCAGGGTCTTCTTTACCTATTCCGAATCCCAGTCCATCTCATCTCATCCACATATTCTCCACTTCTTTCCAGGCTTGTCTCTAACTGTTCTGAACCCCATCTCATCTGATCTCATCTCATGCACATATTCTCCACTTCTTTCCAGGGTCTTCTCTACCTGTTCTGAACCCCATCTCATCCCATCTCATCAACATAATCTCCACTTCTTTCCAGGCTCTTCTCTACCTGTTCTAAATCCCATTTCATCTGATCTCATATCATCCACATATTCTCCACTTCTTTCCTGGGTCTTCTCTACCTGTTCAGAACCCCATCTCATCTCATCCACATATTCTCCGCTTCTTTCCAAGGTCTTCTCCACCTATTCTGAATCCCAGTTCATCTTATCTCATCTATATGTTCTCCGCTTCTTTCCAGGGTCTTCTCAACTTGTTCTGCACCCCATCTCATCCACATATTCTCCATTTCTATCCAGGGTGTTCTCTACCTGTTCTGATCCCCATCTTATCTCAATTTCACCTTGTCTCAATCTCATCCCAGCTCAATCGCATCTCATCTAATCCTCAAACTCATCTCAATCTCATCCACGTATTCCACACTTCTTTCCAGGGTCTTCCCTACCTGTTCTGAACCCCATCTCATCCCACCTCATGCACATATTCTCCGCTTCTATCCAGACTCTTCTCTACCTTTTCTGAACCCCATCTCATCCACACATTCTCCAAATATTTTCAGGCTCTTCTCTACCTGTTCTGAAGCCCATTTCTATCTCACCGTGCCTCAATCTCATCCACATATTCTCCACTGCTTTCCAGGATCTTCTCTACCTGCTGTGAACCGCATCTCATCTCATCTCATCTCATCCACATACACTCCGCTTCTTTCCAGGCTCTTCTCTTCCTGTTCTGAACCCCATCTCATCCACAAAATCTCCACTTCTTTCCAGGATCTTCTCTACCTATTCTGAATTCCGTCTCATCTCATGTCATCCACATTATCTCCACTTCATTCCAGGCTCTTCTCTACGTATTCTGAATTCCAGTTCATCTCATCTCATGCACATATTCTCCGCTTCTTTACAGGCTCATCTCTACCTGTTCTGAATCCCATCTCACCTCACTTTTATCTCAATCTTATCCACGTATTCTCCGCTTCTTTCCAGGATCTTCTCTACCTGTTCTGAACCCCATCTCATCTCATGCACATATTCTCCACTTCTTTCCAGGGTCTTCTCCACCTATTCTGAATCCCAGTTCATCTTATCTCATCCACATATTTTCTGCATCTATCCAGGCCCTTCTCTACTTGTTCTGAACCCCATCTCATTGCATCTCATCCACATTTTCTCCTCTTCTTTCCAGGGTTTTCTCTACCTGTTCTAAATCCCATTTCATTTCGTCTCATCTCATCCACATACTCTCCGCTTCTTTCCACGGTCTTCTTTACCTGTTCTGAACCCCACCTCATTTCATCTCATCCACACATTCTGCACTTCTCATCTGATCTCATCTCATCCCATGCATATATTCTCCGCTTCTTTCCAGGGTCTTCTCTACTTATTCTGAACCCCATCTCATCTGATCTCATCTCATCTCATCCCATGCACATGTTCTCCACTTCTTTCCAGGGTCTTCTCTACCTGTTCTCAATCTCGTCTCATCTCAACATCATCTACATTATCTCCACTTTTTATTCCAAGTTCTTCTCTGCCTGTTCTCAATCTTGTCTCATCTCAACCTCATCCACATCATTATCTCCACTTTATTCCAGGGTCTTCTCTGTCTTGTCTCCACCTCGTCTCATCTCAATCATCTCGTCTCGTCTCAATCTCATCCACATTATCTCAGCTTCTCTCCAGGGTCTTCTCCAGCTGTTCTGAACCCCATTTCATCTCATCCACATACTCTCCGCTTCTTTCCGGGGTCTTCCCTACCTGTTCTGAACTCCATCTCATTTTGTCTCATCTCATCCATATATTCTCCACTTCTTTCCAGGGTTTTCTCTACCTCTTCTAAACCCCATTTCACCTCATCTCATATCATCCACATATTCTCCGCTTCTTTCCAGGGTCTTCTCTTCATCTTCTGAACCCCATCTCTTCTCATCCACATATTCTCCACTTATTTCCACTGTCTTCCCATTCTATTCTGATCCCTATCTCATATATCCCCTCCCCCACTCCTTACATTCTCATCTCATGCCCTCTCTACACCATCTCCTTTCTTCCCATGTATTTTCCATCTCTTTGCAATTTGTTATCAATCTCTTGCCAACCCTTTCTTACCCATCCGATTCCCATCTCAATGTTCTTTCTTCTCACTTGAATCCTGTGCTGCTGATACTTTGTCTGCTTTTGACTTGAATGACTTAAGAGTGCTGGCTCTCAGAGGCACAAGGAAGACGTTAAGCAGGGCTGCTACTGCAAAGAGGGCATTAGCACCTGATCCCTTTAAGCTCAGAGCTGCTTTGGCCCGGTTTGGGCTTTGCCCAGGCAAGGGAAGTTTAGTCTGTGCAGCTGCCAGAGCAGCCTAGGGTGCTGCATCAGCATGTAGGCATCCTCTTGCCTGACTCACCACCCTCACTTTCCCAAATAAATGGTAAAAATAGGCCAATAGCCACTTGTAGCTGCCCATTGCCAAGGTTCTGTTTTGTGAACTTCCCTAGAGCCAGCCCCAGCCCTTAGATGGGCCCATTTGTGAGCACAAGGAGGCTCTGGCCTGCATCTGGTCGTTCCATGCATCTTGCTTCCCTCCCTTTACTCCTCCAGTCCTGCGCTCAAACTTCATGTGAGCATTCTCTCTAACTGTATCTATGTCTGTGTTGAAGGCTGCTAATCAATGTCATCTTTAATTTTTCTTACATTATTATCCTCTTTAATGGAGCTTGCTGCTGTAATGCAGACCAAATCTGCTTGGGTTTAAGCTAGAGGCTGTTATTATTTTTTTTCTTTCACATCAGAGATTAATATTGTTTTATGACCATTGGCACTAACCTCTTTTTCCATAGCAACGCTCGAGAGAACATAAACTATGAGTCATTATTTCTCTCTGGAGGACTTTTTTCTAATTATTATCATTCCGTGGTTCCCAACATATATATTTCTCTAGTGTTTCACCTTTTACTTCCCTTCTTTCGAACAAATAGGCAGAAAGAGGAGACTTCCACTGAACACCACTCCAGTATACAGCTCAAAGTCAGCCTGATTCAGAAATAATTCCCATTGTTCTCCCTTCTTTAGGCAAAAACCTTGTGCAGCATAAAGACACAGTTCCTTAGGATAGTTCATAAGATAATTGTACTAGATCATCACCACAGGTTCTGAGACTCCTTTATTTAATGTGTGTTTTGTTTTTGAAGCTGTCTCCCTTACCTCCCTTACAACACAGTCTGCCGCCTGCTGGTGCAAAGCTCTCAAAAAATTGATGGAGCCTATTGCAGAATTAAGAATGAAGACTAAGGCCACCTACCTGCAGTCAACAGTCATGATGAGAAGCTTGTGCATTTAGTGCTCTGAAATGCTAAACAGCTAAGCCCAGCCCAGGTGTGCTGCAGCAGCAGCAGGGATACCTGGATCTGCCTTGCCTGGACAGTGTGCCGCTGTACATTCAGGCTTGTGCCAGCTGAGAGCCTTGATGTTGTGCTTGCATTTCACACCCTCTAGAATGCAAACCATACATCATCCTGTAGTAGTTCCTGTACACAAAGAAGGACCAACCTGCAAAGCAGAGCGAGCTGCAGAACATAAGCCGGAACAACAGAACAACGGAGGTGGATGGGAATCTCTGCAGATGGCCTGGTCCGACGCCTCAGCACAGGTTTCTTAGGGCTGTGCACGTGGGGGTTCTGAATGTCTTGGAAGATCAGGACCTGCTGCCTTTCTGGTCAGCTCATCTGTTGCATAGAGGTCAGGTGGCATCAGCGGTGCTAAATAACGAAAATGTGCAACAAACGTGAGGTAAGAATGCAAAGAATGCCAATGCTGCAGACTGTGTACGCACGCCTTTTTTAGGCCAAGTACAGGGAACAGTCTGCCTACAGAAATGCAATGCTCACTACAAGCGCATGTGTCTTGCTCCTCAGCTTCCTGTGTTCTATGCTACTCATTTTGAGTGAGCTTTGGCATCTCCTCAGTGCAGTACCAACCATGATTATACATACCCTTACATTACTTGTTCCTTCTGACATGCCTGCAGGCAAATGAGCCCTGTGAGATGTGACAGCGTGAGCTGCATTAACCAGCTGCCTCATCCCTGAGTCATTACAGCTCGACAAAGCACCAAGAGAGACGCAGAAAAGGGAACGGTGGAAATATGTGGCTAGCAGCCAACCCATTATGAACGTACACAAACTGTCTATATTTGCAGAGTCAATTGTCATTTCCACAATATCACAGGGAAAGCTATAAGCAATTTGTGACTTCTAAATAACCCTCGTTTTCTTACCATGTTTAACATTCTTCTGTTGATGAGTGGTGAAGATTGAAAGTCAGCGAGCAGCTTATGACTGAAGACAATATGAGGTGACATGCTGTTTGAGACCTGTGTAAACAAGTCCTACATAAATTTGAGAAGAGATTTTCTGTTTGCATGTCTCGATGCAAGTTCTTAGGAAGAACGATTACATCCTCTGCAAGCTGCTGCATCCCTCTACAAACAAAAGTCAAGCCTACGATACACAATGCGTGCATTTGTGCGTTAGGGTCAGCAGTGACCTCAAACAAGACCATGCTATGCACTCTAAAACATTTCATATGACATAAATGTAATGTATATATATGACATCTAGTTCCAAATAAAGCAAAATTTTTACAGATTTTTGGAATTATTTTAAATTCTTTCACAAAAAAGGAAAAGAATTTACAGAATCCTATAAACCCATCGGATTTTCTTAATCTGCTCCCAGTATGTCTTAACAGTAAGGTACCCACCCACTCAGTTAAAAACACAGAGAGGAACTAAGAATGGTAGAAGTGCATGTCAGGAGAAAACGAGTAGGAAAATACAGATGAGAAACGGAAGAGTGGGCTGTGGGTGGGGGGAGGCACGTACGAGAGAAGCCATCTGCAGGAAGGGTGGGAGCTGGAAGGAAGGGGCCTTGAAGAACCAGCAGAATTTCTCTGCGCTCCAAATGGGTTTGGAAAGCAAACCCGGCTTTCCTCCCTGCCGTTCCTGGTCCTCATCCCCTTGTTTTGCCAAGAGTTCTGCTATATTAAGATACGAGCAATCATGTTGGCTGAGACGCTCCTTCATGTTTGGCCTTCAGCAGGAGTTGCTCCATTCTCACGCAGCTGCTGAGAAGCAGCACGTGCCACCTGGCTTTCCCTTCCTTACCCATGCTTTTTACTATTCCTTCTCATAGCACAGACCTGTGGTTTCACAGGTCACTGCTGTCACACTGTCCTGAGGTTAGAAGCAACTTTCTCCTGCTCCAATCTTATTATTTCCTAGGTTGTTTCCTGGCATATCCTAGCAAAAACAAAAAAGAAAAGAAATCTGGGAAAGTGCTTCTACATGTACTAAGGAATAAAGCTATAGGGATAAACCAAAAAAACTCTGCTTGGAACTTACCCGATTTACTTCTTATAACAGAGAGCGTGACAAAATTGCCCTGATGCATCCCTACTGGAGCAATGTGAAAGAACATTTTGGCTCTATAAATCTTAATCACCGCACAACAGCGCCATGCTCAGTGTCCTCTTTCTTTGTCTTCGTACAACTTCTATTTCACTCCTATTTTAGTTTTTAAAATTATAAATTACTAAATAAGCTCTGCCATCTTCCCCACGCAGTATTTACACTCAACTTTGTAGCTGGCAATGCACTGCAAAAAAAGCATTAGCTGAAATAATTACTTGACAGGAAAACGGAGTTTCCTCTTCTCCACCCAATGCATTCCATCAAGTTGCAGCAACTTTGCTTCCTTCCAGCTCTTAACAAAGCAAATGGTGAGCCTGGCAAGAACCTGCAGACATCAAACTTCCATGGTCATCAGCACCGAGTGCTGTTATTGTTCTCATTTCAATAGCTCAGTCACACCCTTCGTGAGAAGCGGTCCTTCCTTTCCTGACTGCTAGAAAGTTCTTTTACATAGTAATCCTCTTTATGCAATGCAATTGGTGTGTTCAGCTTTGTGTGCTATGTGAATACTACCAGGCGAGGAGAAGGGTGCTATATTTCATGTATATTATAGCTTCTTAACAGATTTAATACAGAAATTGTATTATTGCTATTGTTCCTTCACTACCCTGCTTCACTGTTGTGCCTGCTGCTGCATTCCAAGCTTCTTGCTTGTTTTCTGTCCACAGTTTATTACTATTACAACTTTGATATGCATCCTCAAGTGGTTTTTCACCGGGACTCCACTAGCCTATGTTAATCCTCGCAGCCACTTAACTAAGCTTTCTGGTTTTTTTGATTGGTTGGGTTTTTGTTGCTGTTTTTTAGAGGAGAAAAGGAGGTGCTCCCGGCATCCATCAGCAATTAAAATACTTTTCAAAACCATGAAGAACGGAAAAATCCATGTAAAAATTGTTAATAGCTTGACAATTCTTATGTTGCAAAAACTATCACCTAACACTCTCAGCTAATCAGCTTTACCAAAGCTGAATCGTTCCTTGAAATTAATGGGTCTTGCTGTGGATTACACCACTTCTCAGCATGCTCTGGACTAGTAAGAAAACCAAGCAAATTAGAAAGAGATTTTGCAGGAAATCTGCAATAACTTGTAAGGAGCTGCTCCTCATTAAAGAGGAAACAAAACAAGACAGAAAATAATGAGTTTTCATAGGCGTTCACTACCTTCCTCACCCCATACCGCACAAATGCTTAAACACCTACTGTATCTCCTGATACATGACGAATCCTTGACTCCCCGCAGATGACTTAGATCTTTTCAAACCTGTTTGGATGGGTTTTTTTAGTACCTCAGTATTCTCCCAGTGTAGAGGATAAACGCTAGTGTTTGCCTCTGAAATGTACCACCTGGAGGCAGTAATGCTGTCGGAGCTTGGCTTGCCAGCTTCCCTTCCCAGCACTCAGCCTTCTGCGACTCGGAGCCTGAAGTAAAACGATGAAAGAAGTTGTATTACTCACGCGGGCCATATATATCACCAGCTCTGCCACTCATTCAGAAACTAATGTATTTTTCTAGAAAACTTGAGAATAATACCAAACTTTAGCCCATCCCCAAGGAACCATCCTCTTTCATGCCAGGCTTGCTCATAATCTGTTCCCTGCACGATGTGACTGCGAACCGTAACCGCGGCTCTCAGATACTGCCACAATAAAGTGTAAATAGTGGAAACGAGCAGGTTTTTCCCCAGAGGATTGCTTCCAGGCACTTGTCTCACAGCGATAAGCAGGCATCCAGACAGCTACACAGACCATATTGCTCCTAGAATAGTTCATACACTCCCAAAAAAGGTGAAGGAGAAGACTACTTTCTTGGGGATATCTGCTGCAAAAAGAAAACGCCAAGATCAGGTTAAGACATGGGCAGCCTGCTGGCATGCTGCTTGCCTTAATATAGCAGCACGGGCTGTATATGAGCACTGCCATCACCACAAAGCAGAGATGGGGCATTGCTGAAGTGGGCGTCTGGATCCACACAGTACAATGCAGCTTCCAGCTCCAAGATTTTGTCTCCAGCCCCTGGAGGCCCCTGGCTCAGTCCTCCTGCTATAGACATAAAGGCAAAAATACCAATTAACACAAAGAGGCTCGTTAAAACCAGGTCGTAACAGAGCTCCAAGTTACCAAAAAACAGAAAGTCCCTTTATACTGGGGCAGAAGTATTATCTTACTATTTAGCATTACTACTTTTCTAGCTGCATGTACCAAACAGACCACAGCAAGCAGATAAGAAATGCTGGTAAAATTGATTTCACAGTGGAGATTAGTGAGGCAGCAACCATGAGAGCCATTCAGGCAGAGCAAGGAGCTGACACAAGCCAAGTGTACTTTCAAATTTTAAATGTATTAAATCCACCTTAGAAATAACAGGGACAATACAAGGCTGTGAGAACGCTAATTTTCTCTCCTACATAGACTCTATGGCATTGCTCGTGGCCAAGGTTGCTGCAAGGAATCGGCACAGAGACAAAAAGAAAGTAGCTTTCCACCCTTGCTTAGAGGGGATTTTCATGTATTGGTATTTGTGGGGATGTTTACAACTGCTTTCCAGCAAGCTGTCAAAGCGGTATTAAAAACTGAAACTATTAATAAGGGAGTGCTGTGTCGTTCAGTGACATGCCTGATGCGTACATCTTTCTCTACAATACAAGCAATCCCTTCAACTGCACAAGCACAACCACAGCAGTTTGCATATCCAGGAATGAATGCATGTCACATGGCGTCAGCGTGAGGAACTCTATACATGACACACAGACAGAACCTGCAGCATTTCCCAGTGCTTTGGAGATAGAAAGCAGTCCTCGTCAGGCATATTACTGTAAACCAGTGACAATGAAGTCATGCAATATGGATGCTGTCACCTCTAGAGAGACACAAAAAAGGTCTCGAGGTCATTAACTTCCACAGCTCAGAGAAACAAGTAGCTGCCTTCGACAGGACCGTGCAGCAATTAGAGCCCTTTAAAATTAAGTGTACTTCATGTTAGTTAGTTCCTCTTCCCCAAAGACTTTATTTCCCTTTAATAAACTATTGCTTATTAAAGAAATTGATTCATGTTTGCAAGAGAGGAAAATTAACTTCCTACACACCAGGTAGCTCAGTGGGAGCTCCAACAGCATCTCACCAGCAATCCTTCTCAGTCAGAGCTGCTAGTCAAACTCTGACAGAGGTTTATCACATCTGTAACACGAGAACACCGCCCACAGCCACCACCGTTCTGTGACACCAGCTGAGATTGGAGAAGCTCCCCACGGGTGGTGGCATTTTGTAGCTGCTCCCTAGCAGGCTGCCCACTGAGCTATTTTATTTTGGGGAGCTTTCTTCTACCTTACACTCACAGAAAAGCACTGAAAGCAGGCTGCAGGGAGAGTGGAGGGATGGCAGACCATGAGATGCGGCACTCTGGGGGTGGTGCTCCCCGAGGCAGGCTGCCCAAGCTCCTGCAGGGATGTTACTCATCTCCTCCACCGACACGCGGGAGGCTTCCATTGATCACACAGTGCTAAGCAGACATCTGGAAGCGCTCAGCACGTCTATCATTTTCACAATCCAAAGAAGCAGAGAAAATCAACTGCAATGTTAATTCTCCCTCAAAACAGAGCCGCAGTGGAAACGTGCCCTATATCCCACTGTTAAGATTCCCACTGCTGTCAGGCCTTGATACTGCACAAGCTCCTTTTCTTTAAGAATAGAAGGCTGGAGCAGTTGAACCTCTTCCATATGCCATATTTGTTTCCAAGCTATGCAAACACATGCATAGCTATATGAACATAGATATTAATACACAGATAGAAACATAGATATAGATAGATATAGATAGATATTAGAACATAGATATTAATACAGTGCTAACCAGAGCCTGGAGGGGTTTCAGTGTTCCTCTGAGGTTTCAGAGGAACCTCTGAGGTTTCAGTGTTCCTCCTGGCTTTTGTCATTACTGGTGGTGACAAAATGCACAATCTCCTCAGAGCACAATCTCCTCACTGCTCATAGGATTGACTTAGCGCTGCATACCATGGGTAGCTCAGGCATACACAGCACTAAGATTGTGCAACTTCTGATTTTAGCGTCAAAATAGGAATCTCATTGAACAACAACTTCACCAAGTACAATCCTGTAACCTATAACTCTCTGCTTCCAAAATGCATCTGTCTTAATGCTACGCAAACAGCTACTCAAAGTGAAGAGATCTAGTGAACACAACTGTTTCCCCTATGTCAAAAGAGGAGCAGAAACTAAGAGTATGTAAATAAAATTCCCGTGTTGTTTGTGCTTTCCTGCAACACAACGATTCGATGCGCCCAGGTCCGTAACATGCCTTCCAGCACAGCTCCTTTCTCTTCCACTTTCAAGGCCGCCTTTTTCCCCCTTACTCACGATAAATTGGATAAAAAGGGCTCGAACAAAATTGCCAACCGCACCAACAACTCGCAGGGCCCTTGTTACAGCCCCAGTTACCCACCCCACATCCTGCTCCTGCTCTGCGCTGTTGTAGAGCAATTCACGCTGCAGTGATGAAATTACTGTAATGCACGTGGGACACAGGAGCCAAGAGAAACATCCAGGGCATTATTAAGAGTCACTAGAAAAATCTTACAATGCTTAAAGCAACGCCTCATTGCTCTTACCTGGGCTTCTGATGATGGACAAGATGCCAACACCAGATGCACAGAACTCACCCTGAAACTGCAGGAGAGGGGATCAGGAGCAGGTCCTCAGTACCACTGAAACAACACAAAAGACTTATTATTGTTGCCGGTTCCTCTGCTGCACATTCATTCAACTGAAAATCTGCCCTCTGACAGCACAGAGGTGGCTGAAATGCCACAGCAGATGAGCATTATTCTCCAGCTTAGAGCCCATTATGCCATGTAAGATGAAACTGTCAGAAACCAGCCTTTTCCTTCTATTCCAGACATATGCGGGTGATTTTAGTTCATAGCTCTGCCTCCTCCCTGCCATGAACGAGTCAGAGGTTTCTGAACATCAGCTGAGATAAGGATGTAGTGCTAAATGCCCTGCATGCCTTGCTGTGTGCTATCACTGAGCACACGCCTGCCCTGTAAAGCAGGGCAAAAGCGGGAAGGGGCGTATGCTCCAGCTGCAGTGAGCAGCTACTTTCCAGTGGAAAGTACATCACTAGAAAGAATGCTACTTACTCATAATGTTAGCCATTAGTGGAGACAAACGTTCCTGGCACATCTCTTGCTGCAGCAGTGGAGTTATCCCACACCCTCAGCAGTTAGCGGCGCCGCTTTCCCCCCGTACCCCAACTGCGCGCCCAAGCTGAGCAAAAGGCACTGTGCCGTTGGAGCTTGTCGACCTGAGGAGCAACACAGGTGGTATGTGAGAGGAGAGGAGCAGCCAGCCAACTGCAATGCATCACCATGCTGTAATTCACTACTCACTTATGCAACAAAGCACAGTCCGAGGAAGCACTGAATCCAAGCTTGGCATTTTCCTCTCTAGGTGGGGCTTGCTCTGCAGGACTTACCCTTCCACTATGGCTGCGGATAGTCAAGGTCAGCATGCAGCGGGCCCAGAGCACAGTGAAAACCAGCACCAGCCCCGCTCTGACACCTCAGGGTGGCAGATTTGGGACCTGGGGCAGCAAAGCTGAGCATGCTGTGGCACAGCCCCCCACCGCCTCAGCCCTCTGCCATGAAGTTTTGCCAGAAATGGGCAGTTTCCAGACTGGAATCCACCTGTTTGCCCCTCTCTGTTACTGAGGGCTGCTCTGCGAGCAGGCAACCACTTGTGGCATGGAGGTTTTCTTTAACAGCGGACAGATAACCTGGCCCTCCAAACTTTTTCATGCATTTCCATGTATCTCCAAGGACTTCGCAGTGAAGCCCCATCTTACAAGCTGACCAACGGGAGAGCATGTTCTGGTGTTGTCCTGATTGTCTGCATCCCATCGGACTCAGAGCAAACAAAAGGCAAGATGTAAATTCCCCTCTAACCGTTCCTTTCAACTTGGCCTGCCCATCAGATATGATGTGCTTGTCCCTACCTTAATTGGGTTGATCGTAGGATCAGACAAACATCTGTGAGTACCCACGGCTGTGTCGTATGCCTCTCCTCATTGAAAAGAAATCAAAGAAGCAATGGTACAAATTCTGCCTTTAGCTTTTTTTTTTTTTTGACAGTCTTGAAGACATAATTGTAAAAAAGGGAAACGTGACCTAGAGCACAGAAGCTCAATGCTCCATCCTCAGAGAGTGTTATCAGTGGTTCGCTGTCAAACTGAAAAGCTATTTTCCAGGATGATCTGTCTTAGATGACTTGAACACTTTCATAAATAATTTGGAGGATGGAAAAGAACACGCTTACTAATTCTGCAGATGACAAAAGCATTAAGGGAGTTTGAAGACAGAGCTAAAATGAACACAATTTTGACAAATCGGCAGAACGAACAGTCTTAAAAATGTACTCCAGTTCGTACTCTAGTGAAGAAAAATGTAATGCCCTATGCTTAGCCATGATAGACCCCATGTGAAACCATAAAACACAGTAGGTATAGGAAATCTTCACAGATCGACAGTAACAACAAATCCCAAATTCCTTGGATCTCCTCTGAAGCACTGCATTTACAAAGCTGCGGGTCAACTGAAGAGAGCCAAGAGTACCTAAGAAAATAAATCTGTCATAACTCTCTCTCAACCTTCCAGCACCAAAAAAGAGAACATCAAAGGAAAGTTTGCTACCTGTCAGACATAAGGACACTTCAAAACTAGGAAAGAATAATCTAGATATTATCTCTCTGAACAAAGGGGAAAGAATATTGAGATTATATGTCAGCAGAGAGAATCACAACAATTGGAGGGGATGATCTTCAACAGCAGCCACCACTAGGCACTAGCAAGATTGTTTGGGGTGGCAGGAGAGCCTCCATCACCAGATGCTGCTAAGAGGATGGGCAAATTACTGCCAGGGATTACATACATCTGGCTGGAGAAGGTGGTGGGACTTGATCCTCTGAAGAACTTTTGTACCACCAAGTGTTCGGTTAAATTCTCTGAAATTGAAAACCAACCTAGCCTGTCCCAGAGCTGTTAACATTTGCTACACTCAGCGTACACAAGCAAATAAGTTCTGAGAGGTTGACCAGTTGTGAAGGCAGCACTGCTTAAAAAATACCTACCGTCCTTCCAGGGCTATAAGCAAGCTCTGCATCAGAAAATTGAAAACAGTTTTAAGTCTCTGACTGGCCATGGGAAATACGAAATGATACACTCTGACTTGAAGGGCTCGTGTGAATCCAGTCAAAACTTCCTGAAGTAGATGTCTCAGATCAGCTCATTAAGTCCCTATGCGACAGCCTAAATCAGTGGCCTCGTTTTCAAACGCACACTGAGCACTCTGCAGCTCCTGTAGAGTTGAAGAGGAGCTGGTGATTGCTTGTCACATCTGAGAACTCAGGACACTTCAGCTCTGAAATGTGAACCTGAAAGCAATTTTCTGTTTGGTTTTTCACACTCCTAATCCCAGTGTTTTGTGCATACTTTCCTGGGTTTTTTCTTTTCTAGGCCATTATTTCATTTGTAATGTAAAAGTAAGTATTTCTCATTAAAGCGATTCCAAAGCTCCAACTTTGGAAATCTTCAACTTTAGGCTGAAAACTACAGAACAGCAAAAATTTTACCATATCAAACACATTTTGCACTCCCACATCCCCTCCTGCATTAAGAATTACATTCTGACTTGCATAATAATCACGTTTGGGCCCCAGTCCTGCTTTTTCCTGCATTAGCCTTTAGTTTATTGCATTTATCGTCACCAAAAGTGGTGGCTTTTATTTATTTTAAAAAGAGTTACAGCTCACATGCCTCAAGCTTTGTTTTCCTTTACTCTTTCCTTTTTTCTATTTACAGTTTATGAACAGTTAAACCAAATTTACAGAGAATGACAAGCCTATAGAGTCCTATAGGGTCCTTACTTGGCCCAAACTGCTTATATCTCAGCTAAGTACTAGTGAATTACTCATCCATTTAAAGATTTTTAAAGATTTTAAAGTATTTAAAGATTTATTTTTAAGTATTTAAAGATCTGTTTCTTCATCAAGTTTTACGAATTCACACTGTTCTCTCGTTTCCTCACCTAAATATCAAACAGTGTCAATGATATCCTTGCACCCAAGTGCAGAACGTGAACCACTGCCAACAAGTACCTGCTGACACTTCTACTGAATACAAACACGAGCAGCTTCCACTGCTTCACTATTTGTTTCTTTACCAGTATTAGAATGCGAGATTTCCTTAAATTCACATTAGAAATTTGTCCAAAAATCTAAACCTTCTTTCCACTTCCGATTAGAGAATCGCCCTGAAACACAGCACCTGTAGATTTGGAAGCCGTTGCCCATTCTCACCGGACCACATCCGGTTTCTCAGCACAAAATGAACCCGGCACCCCCAGCTGCCTAAGCAGAGTGACCAGATGCATCACCCCCACAATGGCACGAGGTGGCACGTTTCCATACTCAAGCCACCCTGCGTGCTACTGACACAACCCACCTCTGCCACATCCAAGAAGGCAAGAACATGCAGAGCCAGTGATCGACGTCCCAGTCTTGTCTCCTCTCAATGTATATCATCAGATTCTCAAAACTGAAAACAGATTAACAATTGGATTGCCATCAATAGCAAGCACCTGAAAGGACAGAGGTCTAAAGAGCTGAAGATGTAACAGTTCTGAGGGAGGTTAACAACATTAGTGTAATTCTTGGGTAGAGCTGCATGTATTTTATGAAGTGAATGAATGCTTCAACTCTCAACATGGAAGTACCCATTACTGTGAATTGTTTTGCCAGCAGGGCTTAGGGAAAGAAGAACTGGCAGTGGAGCGCTCTCAGTAAGAATTTGAGCATATTTCATATTAAGGAAATGGATCCTACGCTAATTTTCTCTCTCAGCTACTCCAGTTAGCAAAGTTCAAGATGACAGTGGCCATAGGAAACAACAGTTCAAGGATGAGAAGAGACGTTTGCGCTTACCCTTAGAAGTAACCCTAAACACCAAAGGCAATCATCACAGAGCTGTTTTGAGCAAAGGGCGAAATCTGAGGCAATTCTGGCCTTGGAGGGCACTGATGTACAGGGACAGAGCTGTCTTGAACATCCTTCGTCAGCCACAGAAGAGAAAAGCGAGCCTGGCCATGCTACAGAAACCCAATGAAAGCAGCTCAGCCCGGGGAAGATCATACTGGCAAAGGCGAGGAAGTCATTCATAAGCACTGGCACCTCCCCAGCAAGCAGGCAGAGTTCTGGCAGCACCCGGGCAGCAGCAGCTCATCCTCACGACGTTGGCACGTGCATACCTGTGAACCAGGCGACCTCACCATTTGCAGCAGAACCACCAAAGAACTTTGTGCAGCAAAGGGCTGACAAGCGGACTCCCAAAGCTCTGCAGCACTGGCTAAGAGCACAGTACAAATACTCTGCTTCCAAGGTTTCCAGTTCCCAATCTATGTTTTCTTCCCTATTCAGCTAAGTTCTCTTTTCTTGCTACGAAAAAGTTAAATCTGTTGGGGGACATATGGATCTTTTCTGTGAGGGAACACGATGGATGCTTCAGATTTTCATTTTGTTTGCACATGCACATCATCCAAAGGACAACAGGCCTCAGTGTGAGTGTTTGCGATGCGACCGGAAGATAGCAGCCTGATGAGGGATTTGTCAGCAAGCCGTGCTCTCCACAGCCTGCACATCTCAGCCGTGCTCACAGAGGGCTGGCTAAGGATCCCAAGCTTCTAGTCAAAGAAGAAACAGTATTTCAAACACAAAAGTCACATACAACAAGAAATCCTTTCAAAATCAAATAGACCAGGTGTTTCACCACCAAATACATCCTGAAGAAGCAAAACCTGGAAGGGGGGGTGGCGGAGGTATCTTTCAGGTGCCAACTTAGAAACAAAAGCCAGCTGTGAATAGATGTCAGTAGCACACCAAAATTATCACCATGGTTTCCCAGAAAGAAATTACAACCTCAAAAGCCAAAAGGCCTTAAAATTTAGGGGTACGTGTCTTTATCTTGCAGTTTTCAAGCCAGCAGCATCTGCCAGTTGATCGCTCTCATGCTTTCAGGCCAATTTTACTTAATGAAAGCAGTTTCTCATAATCACAGGGCTGGAAGATTGAGCCTTAAGGAAAATACTGACTATCTTGAGACTCCCCAGTAAGAAAGTAGGCCTGAATCTGGGAGCGCAGCAAGCTTTAAACACAGAAGCTGTGTGTTATACCAGTGCCACTCACCTGTTTGTGCAGGAAGCCCATGCCTGGTTGCATGCCCTGAGAGGTAAGTGGTTGGATTTTGCATCTGAGAACTGAATTTGCAATTTTCAGGTGGATTTCAAAAGGAATTTGTGAGATTCTTTGCTTGTCAGCAGGCATTTCAGTCCCATCACTCACCGAAGAACTGAACAACCGAGACATTAAAGGGAAAGCCCGCACGTCAAAAGCTGAAAAGAGAAAGATGTTACGAGCAGACCTGAGGTAAAGGCAGCTCATGATTAAGTCATGAGATTGTAATTAGGGGTGTAGGAGCATAGGAATACCTGAGCAGATCGTTTCTTTGAGGCTTCCGCCCTGGGAAGGCAAAAGGCTCTGCCATAAGCACACGCAGGATCCGTGCCAGACCCATGCCACCTTCTGATGGCTAAAGTAGGGATGGAGAAAAAAATCAAGGGGCTACTTTGGAGGACTAGTTGAGTTAATGCACTGTTTGCATTCAATTCACTTTTATTGCTAGGTGGTCATGTTTGCCATTGAGTCTAATTAATCTAATTAAGGCACCTGGATTTGTTGTTACTACCATTTCAGAAATTTGATATGCAAAGGGAGTTGTGTATCATTTTGTGCCTTTGTGGAAAATGGGCGTGTGAGCGAGTGACAGAGCCAGCAGCACCTGCACGTGTGGGACCTCCACACCTTGACCAACAGCACGCTTAAGAATTCAAGCACACACCTCCAAGTCATATTCTGTATTCATAGAATCATAGAGCAGAATCATAAAACTGATGAAATTGGAAAAGACCTCCTCTGAGTCCAACTATCAAGCCATCCCCACTGCACCTACCAACCACGTCCCTTCGTGCCACATCCACGTGTTTCTCACACACCTCCAGGGACAGTGATTCCACCACCTCCTTTGGCAGCCTGTGCCAAACCTCACCACTCTGAGAATTTTTACATAAGATCCAGAAAAGAGATGTACAAAACGCAGCTAAGCCCAGCACAGCAGCTTTAGCAACCTAGAGCTCAGAGCTCACAGCGACCTCCCCGAACATGGGCAAGTAATGACAGGCTTTGACTAAGCTGTTGTGCAACCAACAGTAACTAAAACAGTAACAGTTCCTAACCGAAGGGTCTGAGGATATCCAGACTCGCAACAAAAGCCTAAATTCTTCCTGCATAAATTAGACAGACAAAGTGAGGCACATTTTTCTCTAACGCTGGTTTTCTTGCACTTGGCATTTTTGCCATTGCCATCAAAGTAATAGTTTGAATTGACAAGATGCCATTTTTAATTAGACAGATCATCCAAGGCACAACATCAGCATTTCTGAGAACATCCGAAAAAGCAGCCTGCTTCTGCAAGGAAAGCTTATTTCCATTTGAAGATTAAAGGTTCCAGACAGCAGCAATATGTTTCTATCTGCCATTTCAAAAGGGAGACTTGAGAACATCAGGCCTTACCACACAAGAGATTAAAAGATACAGGGAGATAATGCGTAACCAATCCCGCTTCTCACAGGTTTTTCTTCCTTAATCCTGTCCAGCAACAGCTGCTAACAATGGCAGCATCACCACATTAAGCAAGGATTAGCAGAAGAGGCCTCAGCACAGTGCTGTCACCCTGCATCTCACGCTGAGTGCCATCATGTCCCACTCCCTGATTGATGAGAGCAGCCTGCTGGCGGGCACGGAGCCTGGAGACACCGGTGTGCTCTGCTCCTCTGCTGAGCTACCTGTTGGGGATTGGGTCAATCAGCAACCACGCTGCTGAAAAGCTGTCAGAACCCCGTTATCCCCAACCAGATGTTTCCCTTCTGATGGAAACAGCCCAGAAGATGCTCTTTGTCATTGTTTCAATATGCAACAGACATGATTAAAAATCTTGAAAGCTGCAACAAAGAGAAATTGTCATTCCCTGAACAGCTGTGAGCAAGACAACTGCCAGCTGCAGCACACAAACCCTTTTAGAAAACACGCCTACATGCAGGCTGCACCGCTTATGTTTCTCTCTGCTTGGTTTCACAGCCTCCCTGCATTAAACACTGGAGGGCAGAGAGGTGTGTTCTGCGGGGCAGACCTGCACACAGCAATCCACAATGGTCTGTTTTGAAGAAAGAACTGAACCAAGTATTAACACAGAATACATTTCACAGGATCTTTTCAGTTGAAAGGGAATTTTAAAGACCGTGTATTCCAACCCTTCCGCAATAAACAGGGACACCTATGCTCAGAGTCCCCACCAGCCTGACCTTGAATACCTCAGGGATGAGGCACCCCCCTACCTGTCTGGGCAGCCTGTTCCAGTGCCTCGCCACCCTTCTCTATAACTTCCTGAAGGGAGGTTGTAGTGAGCTGGGGGACGGCCTCTTCTCTTGTGTGATAGGACCAGAGGGAATGGTTTCAAGCTACGGCAGGGGAGATTCAGGCTGGACATTAGGAAGTATTACTTTTCAGAAAGGGTGGTCAGGCACTGGAATGGACTGCCCAGGGAGGTGGTGGAGTCACCGAGCCTGGGGGTGTTCAAGGAAAGGCTGGATGTTGTGTTGAGGGACATGGTTTAGTGGGAGCTGTTGGGAATAGGTGAACGGTTGGACTGGGTGATCTTTTAGGTCTTTTCCAACCTTGGTGATTCTATGATTAAAAGCTTAGTACTATTTCACATCTCTTTCAAAACAAACTTGTCAACAAACTGTTCACATTTCCCAGAACCGCAACACAACCTGCCTGCAAGCCCTATAGGACACCCCACAGTCTGATCAGCAGGATGCATTTGCAGATTTAGCTTGTAAGGATTTACTGGATCTCCCAGTGTCATTTTAGGTCTTGTAGTGGTTTTTTGTTTGTTTGTTTTTTTTTTGTTTTTTTTTTTTCTTTTATTTGCAGAGCTCCAAATGACAAACTCTGGCTGCATCACTAGGGGCTGGGGCAGCCCTGCTAAAATTCTGATTCAGCTGTTACTTACAGCTGGCACAGAACCGAGCTTTCATTCCTCTTATCCCACTATTAAGAAAAACAAAAGCTCTACATTCCCAGAAACGGCAGCAATCTCACACCACCTATTGGTGCACTGAAACATCACGTCTCCCTGTGATGCAGGGGATGCCACACGCTTGCAGACCGAGCTTGCAGACGCACAGGGCTTGTGGCGAAGTTTGTCCCGCACAGAAGCAGGAGCCAATCCTGGCCACACTCAGTCAAGTCCCAGACACCTATGATGCTCAGGGATGCCTTTGATTTTCCTCCAAAAAAAGAGCCAGGGAACGAGGAGGAAGAGAAATGAGCACCAAGTGCCCAACCTGTCCTTTAGCCCCAAGCCTCCCCCTGGGGCCAGAGCGATGGGACAGGAAGGCTGCACCCTGTGCCTGGCACAACCTTGGAGACCCAAGGTGAGCCCCAAGCATGGGCCATGGTGGTCCTTCACGCTGCCAAGTTCCAGCACTTAAAAACAAGGCCAACCTCATCCAATCCCTGTGCCTTCCACAAAACTCCTTCTAGAAACCTCCATGCCATCCCGAGGCCCTGAAAAGGCACTAAAAATGGGAGCAAACTCCGGCCACACTGGGTTAGACAGAACTGTGCTCAGCTGAAGGAAGATATTTGGGGTCGGGGCTGCTCAAAACCACTTCAGTGGCTTCAGCTGACTCACCTCAAGCTCAGAAACCCCATTTGGAGAGCATTTTGTCGCTTTAGTGGTGGGGTGGAGATTTCTTCTCTAGTTGAAACAACAACAACAACAAACTCCTTCCAGAGCAATCACACGCTAGGGGGAAAAAATAGGTTTGGGAAAACCAGGGGGCTTGGTATTCTTTTCCTCTAATGGATTTCAAAGAGAGGGAGAAGCTCACTTCTACAATGCAGCCAGTTCAAATAACAGATAAATAAACAAAAAGCTATAGCAGTAACCTTCATGGCCTGATGTGCTGTGCTAGAAATCCATCAAATCAGTGCGAGAGCCCAAGCTGCTTACCTGCACCCTACGTGCTCACACCCAGGGCGCTTTACTCAGCACCTGGAAGAAAAATTGGGGTCACCCTGAAACCAATTTCTTTCTTTTGCAAAAGATTCAGCTCCGTGACAG